GATGTGCTTGTCAAATATAATCTCGGGTCTTTCGATCATCAAATGATATATTCAACTGGCAATTGGCCAAGGTCTGTAGGTATTGGCGATTTTAATAACGACACCCATCTGGATATTATCGTCACTAATCAGAACGACAACACTATAAGTGTCCTTCTCGGTTATGGTAATGGTTCTTTTGCAAATCAAAAGAAATATTCAACTGGCAGTGGTCCTGTATCTGTAGCTATTAGTGATTTTAACAATGACACCCATCTGGATATTGTCGTCGCTAATTTGGATAATAACACTATAAGTGTGCTTCTTGGATATGGTAATGGCTCTTTTGAAAAACAAACGACATATCCAACTGGCAGTTCCCCACAGTCTGTAGCTATTGGTGATTTTAACAACGATATCCATCTGGATATCGTCGTCGCTAATTATGGTGACAACACTACAAGTGTACTTCTCGGATATGGTAATGGCTCGTTTGCAAATCAAATGAAATATTCAACTGGTTCTGCACCATTATCTGTAGCTATTGGTGATTTTAACAACGATATCCATCTGGATATCATCGTCGCTAATTATGGTGACAACACTATAAGCGTGCTTATCGGATATGGAAATGGATCTTTTGCAAATCAAATGAAATATTCAACTGGTTCTGCACCATTATCTGTAGCTATTGGTGATTTTAACAACGATACCCATCTGGATATCATCGTCGCTAATTATGGTGACAACACTATAAGCGTGCTTATCGGATATGGAAATGGCTCTTTTGCGAATCAAACGAAATATTTATCTGGCTCTGGGCCCAACTTTGTAGCTGTGGGTGATTTTAATAACGACACCCGACTGGATATCGTCGTCGCTAATTGGAATAACAATACTATGAGTATTCTTCTTGGATATGGCAATGGCTTTTTTGCAAATCAAAAGACATACCCAACTGGCACTAGTCCTTCATCTATAGCAATTGGTGATTTTAATAATGACACCCGACTGGATATCGTCGTTGCTAATTTAAATGGGCACAATGTTATGGTATATCTTGGATATCCCAAGGAAGGTTTTCTAAATCAAATGAAGCTTATAACTGGCAATGGATCTCGGCCTAAGTCATTCGCCATTGGAGATTTTAATAATGATGGTCAAACAGATATTGTAGTTGCGAATTCACGCACTAACAATGTTGGTATTTTTTTGAGGTATGGCAATGGTTCTTTCGCAAATCAAATAACATATTCAACTGATTTTTCTCCATGGGCGGTAGCTGTTGGTGATTTCAACAACGATACAATACTTGACATTGTCACCGTGAATCATGGTAATGACACTATTGGTATATTTCTTGGATCTGGTAATGGTTCTTTTTCAAGCCAGAAAACGTTTTCAACCGGTTTCAACTCTCAACCGAACGCGGTTGTCGTTGGTGATTTCAATAACGACACCTTGCTGGACATTATTGTCACCAATTATGGCATAAGCAATGTCGGTGTGTTGCTTGGATATGGCAATGGTTCCTTCGCTGATATAAAAAGTTTTTCGACTGGTTACGGCTCTCTTCCATTCTCGATTTCCGTTGGTGATTTGGACAACGATGGAAAGCTGGATTTCACCGTCGCAAATGAAGGAGCTGACAATCTAAAAATTTTCTTGCAGACTTGTTAATGTTGCAACTTCTACCTTGAACTTTTTAAAATTTTGTTCACTGTTTCTAACTTCTACTTAGTCTTACTAATATTTCTTGTAATCTTTTCTTATTCATCTTTTGATTTCTATGTTCAAATAAACTGCGATTGAGAGTGGGTGCCTCAACCAAAGTATGGCGCGTTTCTATCCCGCTTAAGGATCTTATCACAGAGTGCTGACTAAGAATCCATTCAAATGATTGGGAACATCAAAAGTGTGATACATAGTCTATAATTTTCACGACAAATTCTCGAAGGACTCCCCATCATAACAGCAGATGTCGTTACTGCAATGATGAGTGAAACAAACTTGGAGGCGTTCGCATCTTGCTTAAGAGTCTCATCATGATGGATAAAGCAATCGTAGAACAGATTGACCTATATGTCTATGAGACAAAACAACCTGCTGCTATCACCTCTTACTTTTCAGAAATTGATAAAGTCGAAAACCAAATAGCAATTTAATGAGAAAATAATATACTTTGTATAAGTAATAAATAAAGATAAATGCATAGCTAATTTCGCAGACGCGCTTTGTACTATTGTCAATTAGAAAACAGAGTGACCTATCCATTAACGAAAAGACAAGTTCAATCTGCTATTCTTAACTTTGCCTTTTAGCAATTGATTTCCTGTCGAAAATTAAATAACAAGAGAATAATAATAGATAATGTGCTGAACTAAAATAATTTAAAAGAAATGCAGAGTTTAGTTCGCTGACGCGTTTTGTGTTATTTATTAATGTATTGAAACGCTCATCAGGACTCTGCAGTACAATTGAGACTTTTAGGTCTGTACAGTTTGGAGGCGAGATCTTCGAATTGGAACTATTTGACTACATGTATTTGTTTTAATTGTATTGTCTTCGGTGATTTTAATGTGGACCTTGAAAAGGATAAAGCCAAAGCTGAAATGTTACTATCGTGGTCAGATTCTATGTTTCTGTGTCTATTTACTCCAGACTCTTCGACATCACTAAGAAGTGGTCGAATTATTGACTATGTGTTTACATCTAGGTTTTCTGTCTTCATCTAGACTATCCAAGAAACAAGAACCACAAGTGATCACAAACCTGTTCTGATAGTGATTCCAGTAAAATCAAAGGAAGTTCACTTTGTTAAAAATGTGCACTGGAAGCTTTTCTCTATGTTCAGTGAATTTGTCTATCCATGGTGGGTAAGAAGGTGGAGTGTAGATCTTTTAGATATCATCTATGAATGATATGTTACATTTCTGTCTCTTCTTACGGCCAGTTGTACAGTTTTGTTTCCAATTGAAAAAACTTGTCAGTGGGGTCCCAAGAGGGGTGGAAATATGGAATTCACAAACTCTGAGCGTTATAAATGTAATATACAGTAGCGGCCAAAATTATAAGAACAGACTGCTAGTCGCCTATTCATTTCGTGTTTCTCTTTCTACAAATGATGTATTCGACTGATATTCAGTCTTGTACCTAGATTTCGATGTGCTCTTTCATAATATATGAAGAGTAGGTCTACATGTCATGTGATCAGTATTAAAGAAAATTTTGAAACATTAATCATCGTTTTTGCCTGGCCAAGATTATAAGAACAGCAATATCTTTAAAGGTTTTTTTCCCACCAGTCTTCGACCGATTGTTTTCGATAATACATCAACTAATATATAAGAGCGTTGACTATTCGCTGACACAAAGAACTTGTAAAAATTCTAATGCTTCGTCTATAAAATCAAGTTGTACCTTGCATAGGGCTAAAATCTAAGAAAATCAATGCTTCCAAGCTAAAATTGAACCCAAACTCGTTCAAAAGTATGCCATAAAAAAGAGCGTAAAAACCTACATCTCGTGAATTGATTTTTAACCAAAGTTGTTGAAGAAAGTCATGTTTCAAAGACCTATGATACTAGTTGGACACTGGAGTTGCGCCTAAAAAGTGTTAATGATCTCTAGAAAACTCGCTCTAATGAGCTTGGGGTGTGGGTATAGGTGTAGGTGAATTGAAGATCTGTAGTCACACCCACATCTATCCACACCCACACCCAAAAAACTGTTTTTTTAAGGTGCGAAGAACTATATAGTACTGCGTCGCGAGTTTTCTTTCTTTCTTTATTTCTAGCTAGACCATACGCAGATTTTTTCACATTTTGTGTCGCAATGATCTTTACAGCCGATAGTCAGAAAATCCTCATTCAAGCATCAGATGAAAGTGTCGAGGTTGAACCGAAACCTCCTTTTTTTCGATTTCCGTTACGATGTTCCATTCGCATACAAGCAGGATCGAAAAAAGACAAATTTTTCAGGACTTTGATTTTTCAAACTTCGAAATAATTAAATCATAAAAAGTTAGGCGCCATTTAGTTCACTGATGTATAAAAAACAGCTGTAATCACAGCTGATGATAGATAATGAATCATATCGATAATTAAACGATCAATCGATGACGCTCTTTAAAAGACTGTTGGTAAGCTTTCATAATTCGCGCGGTGATAAATTCTAAATGACTACTTGTCAGCCTATGCTAGATTTCGGTCAGTTGATTGAAGGAAACACACCTTTTCGATTTACAACAATCGACAGATAGCTTTCCTCTCTGTGAAGCAAAACTAGAAGAGAAACATGGTTCGATTATAACTCTATCATCGATTTATGGTTTTTTCGAAAACTCGACTAGTCCAGTTAGTCGATATTCGTGTTTCGCACTTTATTTCATATTCTCGACAAAATCGAGATACCATCTAGTTTTCATAGTGAGGAAAAACAGAGCTTTTTAACTATTTTTGAAATTTCCGAAGTAGTTTTTTGAATTTTTTATTTCACAAGATTGGCTTTAAAAAATTTTAATACGTACAGTTTTGTAGAGCTCGACGAGCTCTATCGAACCATGTAAAAATATCAAAGAAAAAAAAATATTCCTCCATTTCGAATTGCTGGCGCCTCACATTTCTATGGCAAAAGGAGAATAAAATTTCTGAAAATTTTCTATGTTCGACAATAAAAGGTTTTAATAGCTCTTATTATTTAATAGCGATAGATCCAGTTTTCGATCCGCTTTAATTTGGTATAAAGTACTTTGTGGATATTATCTGTAGTTTAAGTTGTAGAGGGGGCGTATTGGTTTTGTAACACCCTGTAGTATATTTTAATTACTTATGTTATTTACATTCACCATGTTAAACCATACGTATAAAAATACAAAAAAAAAACAAACAAGACGTATTCTTTAATACAAATACCACCGATCGACTTCACAAAAGTTATTATCTCCATGCTTTAATTCCGATTTAATTTTCGAATCTTTAAAGCTATCTGATAAGATTCTTTAGCAGGAATCGAAACTGATCATGGCAGCTGTTCTCACCATTACACCCTATCCAGTTTATCTTTAATAAATATTGAACGTGGTTGTGATATTGATCTGGATAGCATTGTTACCGAATTTATATCGATAAAAGAAGAGAAAAAAAATATTTTGAAAATAAATTGGTTATATATTTGTTAAAGAAATCATTTCATTTTAACAAGAGAAGATGCATGCATACATACATACTAAAACAAGAGAGAGAAAGAGAAATGGAAAACACATACGTTCTTATAGTTATATATAAAGGACTGGATATGAATCAAACGAAAAGAAAAAAGGTGATAAACTAAGAAAAGAGAGCACGAAAAGAACAACATAATAGTGTTAATAGCATTGATCATAACAATAAAGATTTTAAAAATTGAAAACTTATTATCATTATCAGCTTAAAAAATTTATTGTCTCCCCCAGCAAATTGAGCTTGCGTCGTCCATGCTAGTCCAAAATTAACTTTTTACTAATCACTCTAAAGAAAGCTCTTGAACTATTTCCACTCTTAATTGTATAAATCAATCTGAAATCTGGATCCTCATCATTGACAATATGTGTTGTGTCAGGAGATTGTTTTTTTGATTCCGATGTGTAGTGAATTCTTTCGGCATCGCTTTCGGGATCTTCAGATTTATAAGCTCTACATACAATTGAATTACCTCCTGATATTGGATTAAAAAATGAGAACGCAAAGTTTTTATTTAACGTACTCTCACGATAAATAACCGTGCCTTCCACTCCATAAAGTCCTACTTTTTTTACACACTGAAAATTCAGTTTTATTTCCTCTTCTTACACTGTTCGAGTAATTTTTGTCATTAGTTCCACAATCAAAATATTGGTCATGGAAAACGAAATGATAAAAAGTAAAATTTTCTATTGCCATTTCTATCGATCTCCCATCTCTTGAGACGTTAGAAACCAATTTACTAAGTTGTCCAGAAACATAAAGCTGCGAAAAAGTAGCTTGCAATCAGAGATGGGCAGCTCCGACTCCGGAGCGCTCGCTCCACGGAGCTAGCTCCGCTCCTGGAGTGGAGTGGGAGCGGAGCGATTTGTAAAAATGGTGGAGCTGGAGTGGAGTCGGAGCGAGTGTTTTTGTACTCACATCGGAGCTGGAGCGGAGCGTTCTGTAAATAGAATGGAGCTGGAGCGGAGTCGGAGCGAATTTTTTTCGTTTTTTTCTTTTGTACGTCTACTTTTCGATTCATTGTTCTGTGAATAAACACAGAAAAGTTAGCGAGAGAGAGAAGCGCGTCATCGACTATTCACTGAAGTGAATATATTGTTCTTACTCGCCGGTCGATAAATATTTGAGACAATGACTGACCGTTCATTGAATTAATTATTCCATGGCTAATCGGACTGCGCTATTGAGAATTATAATGGGCGAACACAACGTTGTTGAAGAGAAAAAATTCAATAATATAAACTATGTGAAAAATAAATAGTGTCAG